ATTGGTCTCTGTAGTTCTTAAACCCATAAACGGCGCCGTTTCCTTCCTCGCCGTATTTTTTGAAATCGTTCACCGGGAGATTCCCGTTTCCGCCGTAGCTAGTGAACGTGTCGTTAGCTCCGTTCTCGGTCTCTCCGTACCCGGTGAAACCCGATTTGAGTACGTTTGACCCGGATCCGTAACCCGAAAACCCGTTTGGAGCTCCGTTTCCGTTTTTGCTGTAGCTGGTGAAACTCTGAGCTCCGGTGTTTGCGTTTTCGGAGTACGCCGTGAAGGACTGTGATCGGCCGTTGGCTTTATCGGAGTAGGAAGTGAATCTTCCGTTGGGTTGGTTTGCGTTTGTGTGGTAGCTCGTGAAATCGCCAGAGCCTCCGGTGGATTCTGTGGCGTAAGTGGTGAAGCTCTGGTCAGCGACGTTGACATCTCCGGCGTAATTTGAAAACCCATCACCGTGTCCGGCGGAATCACGGCTGTAACGGCGGAATGAATCGACGGCGATGTTATCACCGCCGGAGTAGTTTTTGAACGAGTCGACTCCGGAGAGACGGTCGGAGCCGTAGTTAGTGAAGTTCTTGCGGCTGTAAACGACGAAGCTGACGTCATCGCCGTGCTTATCGGCTATAGAATGTGCGGCGAGCTCAGGGAAGCAGAAAAGCTTCGCGGCGGAGCAGAATTCAGAGGGTCGCGTGTGTAGCGCGTGGCGTGAAGCGAGTGAGGCGAAGCGCGTGGACTCCACTGCGGTCAAAGGAGAAGCCTTGGAGAGGAAAAAAGAAGGATTTGGTAAATCGCCATTGATACGTTTGTTCCAATAGCGAATCAATGAAGCTTTTGGTGTGAATGGATTCTCCGACGCCGTGATGTTTCCGGCGGTTTGCTTAGCTCCGGCGAAATACACCTACATTAACAGTAACGCAAATTGTTTATATTTAAATGGAATGTATGAAAAAAAGTTTAATGACATCAAAAGATTGAATCTTTCTTACATGAGAAGATGTTAAGAAGCAGAGGAAGAAAGCTGCTTCAATAATGTTCATCTTCTGTGGTGAGATAGTGGTTGAGAAGGAGAAATAATATGAAGAGAGAGTAATGTGACACTTCACTATGATTTCATGAAGTGAGTCCAAATTTAAGTTGAGTAATAAGCATTGTTTTCAAAGCTTTATTAGGTTTTTTAAAGAACAAAACTTTATTAGGTACTTCGAAAGAACGTAAATCTCTAGGTTTTCACTGTTTTCTCAACGGAAGTAGGTAAAAAAAAGTCAAAAAGAGGAACTGTATAATTCAAATTCAGGTAAAATATTGTAAGAAAGAAAGATTCTCAATAATAAGGCTGCATATAAAGTATACTAAAGATGAATCTCTCCCCAAAAGTTTACAAAAGATAAATATTAGTTGAGAGAGTAAAAAAGGAAAAGAAATAAAGCTGAGAGAGACTGCTTGTTGCTGAAGAAAGGGATAAACAAAAAAATGATAAATTTAAGATTGAAATAATAGTTTTTGTTTGTTTGTTTAGTCTTGTGTTTAGCGATACTGGAACTGAAAAATATGGAGACTTATCTACCAAGTATCTATGTATTCGTTTTTAGTAGCTCTTGAAATAAAATATTTATGGACTTGGGTCCCTGGCGTCCTGTACCCTGAGTTACAAAATAAACTAAATCTTCATTATGGAGTATTAAACTTATATACCTGGATAATATAAAATGATTTGTGTTTATAAGAAGAAACATAAAATGGTTTGTGGAGGCTAATATATAGGTGACTTTATAATTCTGTCTCCCACCAAATCAAAGATTCTTAAAATTAATTATTACTGTACCTTCTCATTTTTTTCGAAAGTACAGGATCCTATATAATGAGCTGGAGAATTAAGTCAATTACGAAAACAAATGCTACAAATAAATAAGAGGGGAAATAGTCAAATAAACTTAAACCATATTCTTTCTGTTTCAAAATATAAGTAGTTTAAATTTTTTTACACATATTAAAAAACTAATTTAATTTCTATTTTACACCTTACTAGATTTAAACTCGTGCATCCGCACGGGAAATTTATAGTTTTAATCTAATTTTATAATATAATTTATATTTATATATATATTATTGTTTTAATAAATAACACATTTATTTTTGTGTTTAGATAATTTTTTCTATTTACTTTTTCTATTAAATTTGATTATAATTATAAAAATATAATTTAAATCTGACCGTTTTATTAATCCAAAAAAAATATAATTCTAAAAACATAACTCTAATCCGTCTGTTCATATTACCATATAATATACAGATTTATTAATTTTAAATATTTATTTTTAAGATTAATTGATTATTAAAAAAAACTATATATACATATTGTTTATCATTTCTTTTATTATGAGAAATTTTATTTAAATTTGAATATTTAAATATGAACATAATATCCTATTTACTATTTTATAAAGATAATAACAACTACTTTTTGTAATTTTTATAATTAATATGATCTATATTTAAAAAAATCTAAACTAACTGAAATTCAAATTTGAATTTTCGCAATTATTTTTAAATATAAATTAAAATATTTTTTTTTCAGAAATAGTTAAAATAGGAAAATTAAATAAAAAAATTGTTTGGCAAGAGAAATAGTAAATATCCAAAAACAGAATAGTAGAAAACTAAACAAAAATCTGTTTGGACACAAAATACCATTCTGTTTTAATAGTATAGATTAATGTATCATATTGTGTTTGCATTAATTAATTAGCTGTCAAGGTAAGAATAAAAGTATAATTTTAAAAAACATTTGTATTGGAAACCAAAAACAACTTATATTTTCCTAAAATAACTTATATTTTGAAATAGAAGGAATATAAGAAAATAATTACTTATTTATTGTTAAAAAATATATGTATTCAATTAACAAAAAATAATATATATATATATATATATATATATATTGATCTACATAGATTGGATGTATCAGGGTGCAAGAAATGGATCATCAAATCCGAAGAAATGTGGTGGTGGCTAACGTGCGAGTCTGCGACCAATGTAACTTTTGTAAATTTATAGTTTATTTTCTCATTAATGACCATAGAATCCCGCGTTTTAGCACTTGGTGCGATGATGGGCTCTCCAATTTTTGTCGACAATAATATTCATATTTTTGTGGTTGAATAATATTTATATATTAAGATAAAAAAGTAATATATGTACATATTTCGATACAATATATTTGGTATCGGAAAGCTGATCAGACAAAAAAAAAAAAACAAACCCATCAACGGTCAATCGAATTTGGATACTTGTGAATCAAAACTGAGCAAAACTGCGCTTTTACAAAGCCAAAACACACACTTTCAAATGCAATAGACACAATCCCGCCATTTATAACTCAATTCAGCGTTTAAAACCAATAGCATGCGTTTATCCCTAAACGCTCCAACAACAATATGTTGCAATGAGAAAGATCAAAGCCTTTTGTTCTCTCGAACATTGCCCACAAGCACAAGACTAAATATCATTCAACTTTCAAACCCTAATACAAAGTAAATTGCACAAAAAGCTAAAAGAGTTTGGACTCCAGGAACTCCCAAGAGGGTGACTTGAAGAACTTAGAAGAAACCCTAATTAACTACGCATAGCAGTGATAGCACATGAGACGCGGTGATACCAAAACACGGTAGAGACGCAGTGATCGTTTAGCTGTCCGGTTCCAAGTTCAAGTCCAGTATCATCAACATAAACCGTTGATTTATTCACCTAGAAAGTAATTATGGCTGTACACGTATAAGTTCCCGTAATTTTCTTCTTTGTAAGTCATTATTGGAAAAAGCCCCATATTTTTAAAAATATTAAATACTAGCCCCTAATATTTTGATTATACAATGTACACCCAGAAGGCAGCATGCAAAATTGTTGTAAAATCTCCAATTTGACCAGCCTTGAGGTGATGATTCCGGTTTACAAAATGTATTGAGATTTGTTCTAATCATCATCTTAACCGGAAAAGAAATATACTTGGTCAATCAAGAAGTCAACTAGTCAACTTAGGTCTTTAACTAATGGGAGACAATTAAGTAAAATGGTTTTAAGAAGTTTAAATTAAATAAAATAGAAGAGTAATTTTTTTTTACTTAAGAAAACATATAACCTTTGTGTTTAATAGTTTTTTAGGTGTTTAAATTTAACTTTATTTTATCAAGACTAGGTGAATACCCGCATGTTACGTGCGGGTTTTTCTTTTCAAATTTTTCAAATTTTTTTTATATATTTTTATAAAAATTAATATAATCATCATTTATTACTTACTTACTTGTTAATATTTTATTCTAAAAATTATTAAATATTAATACATATTGAATATTATTTAATAATTTAAAGTTATATTAAGATTAATAAATTTCATTCAATATTTTTAATTAGTTATAACATAAATTTTTGTTTAACATTTACAGAAATATTAATTGATAGTCAATTAATTAAAAAATAAAATTAATATAATCATTATTTCATTTCTTATTTGTCAGTATTTTATTATAAATAATTTTTTAAAAATTAATTTAAAATACATCTTAAATATTATTAAGTAATCTACAATTATATAAAAATTAAATACATATCTATCAATATTTTTAATTAGTTATAACATAAATTTTTGTTTAACATTAATATAAATTTTAATTAAGAGTCAATTAATAAAATAAACTTTTTATATTCTTTAAATGTTTTAAAATTTAATATTAAAATTTATTAATTAAAATTTAAGGACAGATGTCAATCTATCCATGCTGATGTGTCAATCATATAGAGAAAGTTGAGCAATTTTTATATATAAGATTTGAAATTTGGGAATTCAAAATTTATACTTTCTGTAAATATAACTATTTTATTAACTGAGTTGAGAAAAGACTATTTCTTATGAATAATGACATCATTAATTAATTAATAGGAAAATCATTTTTGAGAAGGAACTTTTAAAATAGACGCTTTGAGTATATTTGGCCTTCTCAAAGAAGTCAAGAGCGACCAGTCTTCGTCTGTTGTTCTCAGTGATAGCGAATCAGCGATTCTCGAATTCGATTTCGCGATCAGATCCCGTTTCCGTACAATCCATGGCTGAATTTGCGAAGGAAGTTAACGGCAGCGATGCTCAGAATCTTCACTCGCTCCTCTCTTCTCCGGCGAGGGATTTCCTCGTTCGTAATGACGGCGAGCAGGTGAAATGGTTTTCTCTTCTCTATTCTGCGATTGACACGATTCTGCGTCGTATGTTTTGTTCTTCCATTTGCTATTCGTCGATTTCAACTTCTGTTGATTCTCGATTATGTGTCTGTGCCTGTTTCTCGATTTTTGTTTCTCGGTTATTCTGGTTGATGATTCCTGTTCATGAAGAAAATATAGGTAGATGATAGAGAGGTTCGTGTCCTTGTTTATATTATGTTAATGGCTTCCATCGATTGTTTATGTTCGCATATCTGCTAAGATTCTTTGAATTGGATTCTTTGTTCTACTAGAAGACCTCAGGGCTCATAGAAACGATTGCACTTGTGAGCTATTTGCTTGGACCTTCTTCTCTGGATGATTTGACTTCAGTCTTGTTCACAGGGTTTATGTTGTCCCTTGGCTTCCTCTAGATTTTGGATTGGCAAAAACTCAGGACTTTCGTGCCTTTTTGATCTTTTGGATTCTTGTGGATTATCTTCACTTAACTGCAAGTGTTACGTAGAGTTTGACTATATGCATTTTTTCCGATGTTCAGGTGAAAATTGACAGCTTGAAAGGGAAGAAGATTGGATTGTACTTCTCAGCTGCGTGGTGCGGACCATGTCAGCGTTTCACTCCACAGTTAATGGAAGTGTACAACGAACTCTCTCCAAAAGTTGGTTTTGAGGTTATCTTTGTGTCAGGCGATGAGGATGAAGAATCCTTTAGAGATTATTTCACTAAGATGCCATGGCTCGCTGTTCCTTTTACTGATTCAGAAACACGTGACCGCTTGGATCAGTTGTTTAAAGTTAAGGGAATTCCGTACTTGGTGATGGTAGACGATCATGGTAATCTTCTGAATGAGAATGGGATCGGTGTCATTCGAAGCTACGGAGCTGATGCTTATCCTTTCACACCAGAGAGAATGAAGGAGATAAAAGAGGAAGAAGACAGAGCTCGGAGAGAACAGACCTTGAAATCAGTCTTGGTGACTCCTTCACGGGACTTTGTGATTTCACGAGACGGTAACAAGGTACACTCTTAGTTGTAGAGTATGAGATTAGATTCCTTGTTGCTAAGAGGAAGATTATCTATAGAAGAGTTCCTGCACTAGTTGCTCAATGCAAACCTGTTTATTTTTTTGGCTTTGTTGCGTTAATGAGACCGATTGATTGCTTATTCACTAGGTACCCGTCTCAGAACTCGAAGGGAAAACCATCGGTCTTCTATTCTCGGTGGCCACTTACCGTCGATGCATGGAGTTTACTCCAAAGCTTATTGAGGTTTATAACAAGCTGAAGGAGAATGGGGAGGATTTCGAGATTGTGCTGATTTCTCTTGAAGACGATGAGGAGTCTTTTAAGCAGGACTTTGAGACCAAGCCATGGCTAGCATTGCCATTCAATGACAAAAGCTCATCGAAATTGGCTAGGCACTTCATGCTGTCAACGCTACCAACACTGGTCATTCTCGGACCCGATGGAAAAATCCGCCACTCGAATGTCGCTGAAGCTATTGATGACTATGGAGTTCTTGCGTATCCGTTCGCTCCAGAGAAGTTTGAAGAACTCAAGGCGATAGAGAAGGCAAAGACAGATGCTCAAACGCTCGAGTCGCTCCTTGTCTCGGGTGATCTCAACTACGTTCTCGGAAAAGATGGGGCTAAGGTAAAGCCCTCTCTCTACCCTCTTAATCTTCTAAAACATTGTTTCTTCGATGTTGATCTGAACAAGTCTTGGCTTTATTTGTCAGGTGCTTGTGTCTGATCTGGTGGGGAAGAACATTCTTTTGTACTTCTCAGCTCACTGGTGTCCTCCTTGTCGCGCTTTTACACCGAAGCTTGTTGAAGTATACAAGCAGATAAAAGAGCGGGATGAAGCGTTTGAGTTGATCTTCATCTCCAGTGACCGAGACCAAGAATCATTTGATGAGTACTACTCGCAGATGCCGTGGCTGGCTCTTCCATTTGGTGATCCTCGGAAAACATCTTTAGCAAGAACCTTTAAAGTCGGTGGCATCCCAATGCTAGCAGCTGTGGGACCATCTGGGAAAACCGTAACAAAAGAAGCAAGGGACCTTGTTGGAGCCCATGGAGCTGATGCTTACCCTTTTACTGAGGAACGTTTGAAGGAGATTGAAGCTAAGTACAATGGGATGGCGAAAGAGTGGCCTACAAAGGTGAAACATGCTCTTCATGAAGATCACGAGCTAGAACTGACTCGTGTTCAGGTTTACATGTGTGATAAGTGTAATGAAGAAGGGAAAATCTGGTCTTACCATTGTGAAGAGTGCGACTTTGATCTTCATGCCAAGTGTGCTTTGAAAGAGGAGGCGAACACAACCGGTGATGATGCTGTGAAAGAAAATGGCGGCGAGTCCAAAGATGGTTGGGTTTGTGACGGTAACGTGTGCACCAAGGCCTCATAGATTAGCTTCAGGCGCAGTTATATGTATGCAGAGCTATTTTTCCTTTCCATGTATAACTGATAGAGTGAGAAAGTGTGGCTATAGCCTATAGTATGATAAAACCTTGGAGATGAACTCTGTTAATTTGAACTAGTGGCAAAATGATCTTTCCTGTATAATCATATAGATAGCTTCAGGCGCAGTTATATGTATGCAGAGCTAATTTCCTTTCCCTGTATAATAGATAAGACCAAGCCATTGCTAGCATTGCCATTCAATAGCAAAGGCTTAAATAGGCTGGCACTTCATGTTGGTCATTTTTGGGCACTCGAATTTTGCATCCATTGGTATCCAAAGCTATTTCCACTCCCTGTCTAATTGATAAGAGTGAGAAAATGTGGCTACATTCTGATAAAACCTTGGAGATGAATTCTGTTGATCTAAAGTAATCACAAAAGATTTTTTTTTTATTAACTTTGATCTTTGTATTAACAAGTAGGAGTTGTCTGCAATAATACACTGTCACACTCAAATGACTCGATGTTTATACATATGTAGAGAGCGACAGAGACAGAAAGAAAGCTTTCTGATCTCAGATCGTATTTTCGTCTTTCTGGTTCCAATGGCTAAACACCTACGCCGAGGAAGCTAAAGGCAGCGATGCTCATGATCTCCAGTGGCATTTAAATACGCTGCAAAGAAGGAAGAATAACAAACTGCTAAAATTATGAAAAATTCATATCGAAATAACATTTTTTAAGCTTCAAATGTAAAGGCCCAGCCTGCTCTAAAATATGTTAACCCATATGTGTTATACAAACACAAATGAAGGCGGATCTATGATGTTGTGGGCAACAATATCCAGTTTAACGATGCAAATTATGTATTTTTCAGAACTTACCAATGATAAATCTGTTAATGATCTGTTGATTACAGGACAACCACGTTCATGAACTTCCTCTTGGCGAATGCAAGCCACCATTTGTTAGGTGTCCCATTAGCTCTATACGCCACGCTCAGTAGCCTCCCACTCGTCTCCTCTCGAACTTGCTTCAGGTAGTTCCTAAAAAGATCTGACATTTGAAACCAGCAGAACAGGAGTGCTCAATAGTTACCAGGAGGTAGTGTATAATTCTGGTAAAAATCCCAGTAGTGCAAGCTAAGTGAAGATCAAAGTAGCTCAAAACAGACCCATAAGGAAAAAGGCCCTATAAACTGAAAAAGAAAAACAGAGTAACCACGAAGAGTTGTTTTGAATGTACCTGCTTCTTCCTGGGATGGAGGAAGAGAAAATAGACCAGGAAAAGGAAAGCCAGTTTCTCCAGGAACAGGGATATCTTCTAAACCCAAGTTGATAATCGCCTTAGTTCCTACGGCCAATGTTCTACACCCTTCGAGCCTCTTTAACGCCACATTTATGTAGAACGTCAAGTAAATGAGCAGCTTATCAGCAGGACTTTTGATATCAAAGTTTGTGAAGAAGACATTAGCACGAAAGAACGTGATTGCCTCGTCCACTATATCCGTTCTGTCTACACATATAAACAACTTATATAAAACGTCTTTTTTTCGTTCTGCACATTCGTAAAAGTCACATGTATGCTTACCTTGTTCTGAAACAGGAGCAGGACCCTTTATATGGCTCTTGAGAGGAAGCAAAGGACAACCACATGCCTTTGTTATCCCTTCTTCATCAACAAAACTCGAGTGATATACCTGAATTAAGCGTTTAACCATGAAGATTAAGGAGCAAAACAGTAACAATTATAAGAGATTCAACTAGTGACTCCATGGAACCAAATCAAAGTTTGTAGTCATAATCAGTGAAGTAAGCAATCTCAATGAAAGACCAAAACCCAGAAGATTCATTCAATCGAATCTAACCAATCACTCTTCATACACAACATTACAGCAACGATTAATGTTAACTGAAGATCCGTACCATTTTGTTCCTAACTCGAACAACGAACCGAAGACGGGATGGGGAACAATCGAATCAAAGCTGAGAGAACGCAGATCTACTGCGATGAAATGGAGATCATGAGGATATCAGAATCGATCGATTGAGTATAAGATGTAGAAAAAAGAAAAGCTTTACTTGTAAGAAAATTCTGAATTGGTAGACGAGATCAGATCAATAGACTACCGGAGGTATTTCTCCGGATAACTCTCACGTATCTTACGCCGGCGAAAGATGTACGGTGAAGAAATTGGCGGCGAAGTAGCGGCGGTCGGAGATGTCGCTGGTCGGCGGAAGAAAGCGTAAATCGACGAAGTTGGAATGGAATGAAAAAAAAAAAAATCAAACCGAAGAAGACAGGCAGGTATGTTTGACACGTGTAAGCTTGCGGAATGTGGAACATTGTTTTGTACCGATACTACTGAGATCAATTCCGGTTTTTGGTTTAAAGTTTGAGTTTCATAGTTTAAAAAAGAATTGAAATTACATAGAAACCGATTCTATTTTATTCATTTTTTTCCTTTTTTTTTAACTAGATAATTAGTCCGCACTTTATGCGGGCACAAGAATTTCATAAAATAATTATATCATTAAATTATTAACTTTGTCAAAAAAAAAACTTCCAAAATATAAGAACAATGTTAGACATTCGACCATTACCATTCACTCGTATATTTATAATTACAGAAGATTTTTTCAAACTATTTTTTTATCTCTTCCTCAACAGAACTCTTTCTATTTTTTCGTAAATGTGTGTCATTCTAATCGGTTATTTCACGCGTTTTCCTTCTTCTTCTTTAATATATTTGGTTTATGTTTCTTCTTCTACTTAATCGTCTTTGATTTTGACTTATTATTTATCATTTTTTGTCCTTTTCAACAATTATTCTTTTTTTTTTATATATGATTGTCTTCGTCTTCCAATTTTTCTTTTGATCGTTTTCGTCTTCTCTGGCTTATTATTCTTTTGTTTCTTCTTCATCTTATCTTCAACTTCAACTTCTTCCGCTTCGTCTTTTTCTTCTTATTTTTTTTAGTTTTGTTTATCGTCTTCCTCATATTTTTCTTTCCTCTTTTTCATCATATTCATTTTATTCTTCTTATTCATCACATTTGTCATCTTCAATTCCTTCTACATATTTTTTCAGTTTTTATTCATCATCTCCAAATCCTTACCTTCCTCTCCTTCTTCTTCTTTGATGTCTTGGTCTAATCTGCATTTTTATTCTTCTTACGGTTTTTTTTTTTTTTTTTTGTCTTTGTCATATCTTTCTTGTCTTTTCTGACTGTTTTTATCTTATTTTTTTTTCTTTTCGTTATCTTATCATTCTTCTTTTCCATCATCTTTGTCTTCTCCGAATTATATTTTTCTATTCTCACTCTTCCCGTTTTTTCTTCTCACTATTCTTCATCATTTTCCTTCTTTATTGTCTTTTTATTTTTTCCTTCGTTGTCTACTTTGTCATCTTAAAGTTATTCTTCTTCTTTATTATATTCTTCTTCCTTGGCTTCTTTTTTATTCAGCTTTGTCTTCATTTTCTTCTCCCGGATTTCTTCTTCCTCTTCTTGTTCCCTCTCATTTCTACATTTTCTTTGTATTTCTTATTCTTCGGATGTTTCTTTATCACATCATTGTCTTCTTCCTCGCCATATAACCTTGTATCTAAGTATTCCATTATCGGTTATCATTAATCTTTTTTTCTCTCTCTCTAATTATATATATATATATATATATATATATCTTGTTCCCTCTTTCCCTCTTTCTTTCTAGAATCTCCTAATTATGTTATAGTGATAGAACTTTCAACTATTTTAATTTAGATTAAAGTGATTTTATAGAACGACTCGCCTAAAAGTTTATTTTTTTAAAGCTAGTTATTTCTAGATAGATATATGTTTGACTATTCTAATAATGTATCAAGAAACATGATGATTCTTAGAGAATTCATCAAATATGGGGTAGAAATGTATCACTCTTCAAATCTGCTAATTTAACAGATGACTACAAAAGTCATATGCTCTCTCTCTTCAACAATTTGGCCATATATGATATCAACAATTATTCTTAATCTCTTTATCCAAACGTACAATAAAAAAACATTAAAAATACATGCTATATGTAGATTCCACTTTGCTTCATTCCTAAATACTGTCCTAATATCCGCAAAGGTGCATGGATCTCTAGCATAATCCAATAGAAATCTCAAAAGATCAACCTCTCTCGGACAAGACTCCACAACACATCGGGTGATCCCAGAAGTCAAGATCTTCATAGTGTAGCATACCCTCTTGAACATAGAATGAAGAACACCATCAACAGTTTTAATATCCTAAAAGTAGCACAGACCTCTCCTCACCAACAATAGAAGGCGTAGATAATGAGTTCACCAGAATTAAGTGGACAATCCTCTAGCACACCTGAACTCCGAGAAACTGTGAGCCGGGTATCCATTCACATCGCTTCGGATCCCATACCCATCTAGAAGGGATGTTGGAATATAACAATGTCATTGCCGCTGGATTAAGTTGATTGCATTCCATCCAAGATATCAATTTGCTTTTGTTCTTCGAGTCAGACACGTTGACATCATCATAGATGGAATTTTGTGGTAAAGGAAGATGCACCGACAAATAATCAGAACCCTATAATTATGAAAGAACACATATTAATGGATTTCAATTATGATTAATAGCACGGAACAGAATCAAAGATAAAGTTAAAAGAAAACTATACCTTTTGGCATCATATTCAGTTGCAAAAACAATGAGAAAGGAAGCAGAAACGTGTTTAGCCAGATCAAGTTAGAGTTTTTGGTTTAGAAAACTAAAGACGTAATGAGAACGGAATAACAGAAGAATATTATTGATCAGTGAAATATTTATTTTGACCATGTTTTGTTCTATACGTATTTATACTTATAAAATAAAAAGCATAAACGATATTTGTAAGGATAATAACTTGTAGCATGTATATATCTATTTAAATAATATATTGGAGATTAATTGTTAATTAAAGATGAGGTGAGTGAATGGAAAAGTTTAGGGGTTTTTTTTTGGTACTCTTAAATTTTTGATTTTTGGGTGTTTTTTTTTAATTAAAACAATAATTGAGATGTATAGAAAACTATGGTCGTTTTAAAAAAAAAAGTAGATTAATAAAGTAATAGTTTGTTTTTAATTAAAACAATGATTGAGGTGTATAGAAAATAATTTTTGTTTTTAAAAAATATATTAAGAAAATAATAGAAAATAATGGTCCTTTTTAAAAATATATATATTAAGAAACTAATAATTTTTTAATTAAAAATGGTAGATTTTAAAAAACTATAGTCGATTTTTTTATTTAAAATATATTTAATTAAAGATAAAATAAGATTATATTTTACTAAAATTATTAAATTTTAACTAAATTTAATTTGAACCGAGTAAATGACTAATAACTAAATTTAATTTGAACCAAGTTAAAGGCTAATATAGACTTTTTAATGAGGGACAAGATGATAATTAACCACCTCCAAAATCAATGAGAGAGCTGGAAATCAAAAATTTATTTTGTTTATAATATATATGATTTTCGGTTTCGGTTAAAGCAATAGTGAAACCGATTCAACCGAATAAAGATGATGTTCGATTATTGGAATCGTTTTCCGATTCAGTTCCGGTTTCCGTAGATGACCAGAAACTTGGAATTATTGTATATTGTTTTGATAAGACTCGATTCTTTTTGTGAGAGCAAAAATTAAAGTGACAATAAAGTTTTTATCTTACTGAGTTTTATCATCTTCTTTATCCAAGTACATGAAACCGCGTTTCATTTAATATGGAAACTTAATGGATCATAATTAGACAAATAAGTAAAATAGTTAGGTGTTTGTGAAGTGTTTAATGATAGTTGAAATGCACTTAGTTTGCACAAATGCTTCATCAGACTTAGTTGATATGCACTTAGTTTTTCTCAAATTGTCTCAAACATTATCTCAAACATTTTAAAATACGAATTTCAAATAAACTACAATTTAGAAAATACGAATTTCAAATAAACTACAATCTAGAAAAAATATACATATTTCAGCCGAAAAATCGTTAGAAAATTTCACAAATCCTTTCTCACATTTTATGATCCTATATCATCCATATTTTTCATTACACTTGAAGCTCTAATTAAACCTCTCAAAGTTGCATTGATCAACTCTTGAATGGAAAGTGAAACCTCACATCCAAGAAGACCAGCGAGCTCCAGATGAGTTTCTTTTTTAGGTATTGGTCGCAAATAACATTGATTGCCACAATCAGTGCAATTGTGATGAAGACGAAGAGCTAGAAAGGATGCTTCTATATTGTTGTGCTCCTAAGAAAAAACATTTTTTCAAAATATTTGTGTTTGTCAAATTATTCCAAAAAAGGTTGGACCTTAAGTTTGTTTATAAAATCCATCATTTGATGATTTTTTTTTTTTTATAAACTACTTCCTATGTTCTGATATATATATACACATATAAATCGACAATAATAAAAGATGGTTACGACTAATTAAGTGATGTTTTAACATTGTTAAAATTTTATTTATTTTTTATTTCTTTTTCAGTCTTAAAGGTAGAACAACCGTAAAACTGTATCAAATGAAGGAAGATGATGTTCGATTTTTGGACTGATTTTCCAGTTTAGTTCCGGGTTATCTAGGATGACTAGAACCAGAAACTCAGAATTCTTTTTAACATGGTTCGATTGTCTTTGTGAGAGGTAGAAAAAAGGTGACTATAGAGTATAATATCATGTTACATAAGCTAGTCTTGTATCATCAGATTCACACTATTAATGAGACTCGAGCAATAAACTTAAAAGGACATTTTTATTCTACACTCATTTCATAACAATACAACTGGTGTGATTACTGCACCAAGTTACAAGTATAAAAAGACTAAACTAAATTGATACTACATTCTATGGTTTCGCCATCGTTTAAATTAGCAGTTACTGGCATGTGACGAATCTTATCATCTGAACAGTTAACAATTTCTCTTTCAACTGTATGATGATAAGATTTTAAGTCGTTATTATGGCTCTGAGTTTCGTAGCTCGTGAATGCTCCTAAAGCTCCAAGAAACCCTTCATGTCTTAAGAACAATGCCTTTGCCTCACCTCTCGACCTAAAAAATAAGAAAAATTCTAATAAGATTTATGGACATCCACTTTGATTTCTTTAGTAGTTTCAGTTTCATATTATTACCAAAAATGAACAGCAACAGAGATTGTGTCCATGGTGTACTCAAGACCACGGATGAAAAATCCACCAAAGAATATACGTTTCAGGCCGAATCTTAGTGCATTCAAGTAAGCAATCTGGAGAGAGCAATAGAGGAAATTACACAATCCAATCAGAAAAAAGAAATTACCAGCTTCGAGTTTTCTGTAAAATGCATGGAAATGTTTGCAAGAACAGACCTGACCGATGTTATTCGATATCATTCTTAGAAGAGATCTTGCAACATCTTCTGGCTGGTAATCTTCCAGTTCTTTGCCATCAGATATCGCTTTTCCAAAGCTGGATGCGATGGCTGTTGAAGAGAGACCAATCTATCAAGAAAAAAGAATGAAATTTGGTGATTATTTAAACTTGATACGACTCCAAAATCATTAGCAAGTGTTAAGATGTTTCAGCAAAACCAACATTAGTCAATTTTACCTTTGAATAATCTGTTCCACCGTAGATATCTCCTACAAGCATGTCAATTACTCTGTTATTTCCATGGTGACTTAGCTCGAGCAGCTCATCGAAACTGAAGTTACAAGAGATGTTAGTTATTCAGGAAAGGAAGAAACTGCAATGAATAGAGTTTGAATAAGAAAGTCACCTTTTGCATTTTGTTAAAAGCTTTCCAAGACCTAAAAATGTGCCTCCACCAAGGCTTGTTCCACTTATTCGCTCATACTCACCATCTCCATCGACCTACATTAGAACGAGTCTGAGTAAGCAACATCACTGATTTTTAGTAGCAAGAATAAAACTGAAAAAAAAAAGAACCGAGAAACGAAAACCATAGTAAAACCTTGATCATGCTAACGCCAGAGCCGATATTAACAAGGAGATATGGATACAAATCATTATGGTCGATCTGGACAAACTCCTTTTGGCCATCCAAGTAGGTAAAAGCTTCCCTTGGGACTGTCTGCAATAAAAATTCAGACTTCAGATGTGAGCAAGCATGCAATATTTTATTTGTTACGTCTATCTCTTTTATGGATTAATCAGGAAATTTTTCAAACATGTATTCTTCCATGGGGATCTTTAATGCATTGAAGAATCTACCCCATAGAAGAGTTTAGCATCATCATCATCATCATCAAAAAACTTATATCCTAATTGGTAATGTAGCTATCTTTGCAATATTCTAGAAGTCTATCTGCAACATAATAGAACTCTAACATATGAAGAATCAGCAAAAGATTGTTGACAAAGATGAATGAGTTAGTGGCCTAGACTCTTCAGTGTGCAGTGCTGGTCAAGTGCGTTAGCAAGAACAAATACAAGAAGTATATTCGAAAAGCACACATAACTTATATTTATCAGAACCGGATCCTCATTTTGGTAATGTTAAAAGAAAACTACACACAGAGATAATGGTAGGATTAAAAAAATGCTACCTTTAAGAGAAAATTTGCACCCACAACAAGACAATGCATCTCATCTTCCTTATCGAAAAGAATTCCAAGTTTCTCCTTAAAGAGATCAGCAAATCTAAATGCTCCACCACCTGTGGCCTTTGGAACAGAATATCAATTAATAGACTATAACCAATTAATCAAAAATGCAAATTCCTACTGCAACATTCCACACTACAAAAGCTTTAGCCAAGCTATAACCAATAGCTTTTACCTTAACAGAAAGTTTATCCATGGCTGTGCCATTTGGATGCTTAACCCCTGAAATAACAAGCGAACTCAACTCAAAAACTATTTAGACAAAGAAATCAATAGAAAAGACCCAACTTTATATGTGTTCTGATCTACAATTTGGAATAGATGTTCACACTCATTACTCCAAATAGCTAGAAAGCTGCTTACTACACATATGAATCAGATCTCGAAATCAGATGTAGCATAAACACTTACCGGAAGAATGGTGAAGGATATTGAATCGAATAAACTCTAAACAATCATCAATCTTTCTGGTCTCAAACTTGGCGAAACAGAGTCTGCCTTCCACAACGGAGCAACCACTACGCACGACGATACTTCCGTCGCTAGACTCCTCAAAATTGTCTCCATTTGCCGAGAAATAGACGAGCTTTATCAGAGTCCCTGCGAAAACCCACAAAACTCCCATCAAAATCCCCAAATGATATCACATAAAGCAATTCGTACCCTCGAGTTCGATCAAATCGAGACGAACCCAGAACCGAAACAAATCGGAAGGCAGAGAAATCAAAGATGGGTTTTATTTTTTTTACCTCCGATGTCGAGAGCTAAATGAGAGATTTGAGTCGAGAAGCGGAAATCTTGTGGATCCATTGCGGTTTATTTTGCCGAAATTCTGTTTCTTCCTTTTTGAATGAACGTGAATTAAAAAGCTGTTCAACGTTCAACGATCAACTACTTTGGATCTACCAATCCATTTTTCTCCTCCCATGTCATGAGCAATGTTTGGTTGTCTGATAATGGGTCATTTTTTTTTTTTGGAAAGAGAGAGGAATTCTTGCTGACTTGTCATTTGGTCTTATCAAGATTTGACTTTTCATTTATTTTGGTTTTTGGGGGATTTGCCTTTAGTAAGTCAAACTAGATTTTGTAATTCGCCACGTGCTCGGAATCATAATTTTCAATTTAATTTTATGATATTTATTTTAACCAAAAACAATTGATTAGAGAATCAAATCTTCACTAAAAAATGGATTTTAAAATTATATGATCTTACTATCTCTATAATATTATTTAACAAAATTATTTAAAATGAATTGATTTTAACAATATTATCATCTATACTATTAAAACAGAATGATATTTTGTGTCCAAACAGATTTTTGTTTAGCTTTCTATTATTCTGTTTTTGGATATCTACTATTTCTCTTATCAAACAATTTTTAATTTAATTTTTCTATTTTAATTATTTCTGAAAAAATAAAAAAATTATTTTAATTTATATTTAAAAATAATTTCGAAAATTCAAATTTAAATTTCAGTTAGTTTAGATTTTCTTAAATATAGATCACATTAATTATAAAAATTACAAAAAATTAGTTGTTATTATCTTTATAAAATAGTAAATAGGATATTATGTTCATATTTAAATATTCAAATTTAAATAAAATTTCTCTAATAAAAAAATGATAAACAATATATATATATATATAGTTTTTTTAACAATCAATTAATCTAAAAAATTTAAATATTTAAAATTAATAAATCTGTATATTATATGGTAATATGAACAGACGGGTTATAATTATGTTTTTTAGAATTCTATTCTTTTTTGGATTAATAAAACGGTCAGGTTAAAATTATATTTTTATAACTATAATCAAATTTAATAGAAAAAGTAAATAGAAAAAAATTATCTAAACACAAAAACAAATGTGTTACTTATTAAAACAATATCATATCTGTAAAAATATAAATTATATTACAAAATTAGATTAAAAATAGAAATTTCTCGTGCGGATACACGGGTTTAAATCTAGTTATAAATTAAAAAAATAATTACAATACAAAATGATATAATTGTTCTTTTAAATTATTGAAAAAATGAAAATTTTTTATTTTTCATTAAATAGGATACTACTATTTAATTTTTAATAATTAAAATTTTCTGAGTTTTGTGCAGCCTTGCAATTTTCTGTTTCCATGGTGATCGCTTTGGATCCTCTCCGGTTCGATCTTTTTCTGTTCTTGCTTTGTGGAATTTGGTGTTATCCGGGTTGGATCGTTTGCTCCTTGTCTTTTTTTTTTTACAGATCTGATCGAGATCTGATCCTTTCATGAAGCTTCTATCTAGGTGCGTAACCGCCGCGTTTTTGACACCGCCATATCTAGGAGAATCATGTATCTTGCTGGATTATGAAGCTTAGGAATCACTGTTTTAACCGCTGTTATGCATCTCTATAGGAGGAATTTGTTATCAATAGTTGGCCATGGGCTTCTTCGTTAAATTGTCTCAAAGGATCTTCTGAAGTTAAAATTTTGTTGGGTTGTGCTCTATCTTTGTTTTGGATTAAATTGTTCTTCGATTGATTTCTGTCATAGTTACAAACTGTTGTGGTTTTTTTTATGCTTAGTAATTGTAGTTTGTTTCCCTTTGATAGGGCTTTGTCTCCGAGGAAATTGTGTCTTCCGTCGGCTTTGACTCCGATTTGTTTTCCAGCTTTGTATTATGCTTGTATCATTCCAAAGTTTAATAAAACTTCTAGATGACCAAAAAAAAATTTTAATGATTAAAATACTAAAGATTTTTATATAATAATCAATGTATATATTAAAAAAATTAATTCAAAATCTTGCACTATTTTTTACTATATAGTTTATAGTAGTTTATTTGAATATAAAAAAAATTAATGGATTAAGTATAAATTTATATTTTAGTCTATTACAAAACATGATTAGCTATCTTATTTAAAAAATATTTATAATAATTAATTAGATATATAATAAAATTTAGAAAAATATTTATAAAAATTTTATAAAAATTATTTCGTGCTATAGCACGAGTTTAATTCTAGTATGATGTATATTTGTATAATGAAAGTATGATAGTCTGATATCAATATCATTATATAACCTGATTGATTATATAATTTTATAATTGACTGTGATTAATTTTTTATATGAATGAAAATGCATATTTATGAATGTAATAATGGTTTATTCATCATTTTTTATATAAATGCAGGTGCATATTTATGAATGTAATAATGGCCTGTTCATTTAACTCATCATTCTTTTATGCGAATGTAATCTGTTCATTTAACTCTTCCACGTCCAGCATATGTATATTTTGGTTTTAAATGGTAATTAGAGTAAATACAGAAAAACTGCAGTTAATCTGTATGTGGGATCATCTGCTATTTTTTAGTATTCATAGACTTTGAATGGTAAGTAGAATAAATGCATAAGAAATATAGTTAATCTGTTTATGGGATTTATGGGATGATCTGCTTTTTTTATGGAATGACCTGTTTATGGGATGATCTGCTTTTTACTTCACAAATTTTATGCAGAACAAAAAATAATAATATAAAATTCACAGATCTGCATGCAGATATCTGAAACTCTAAAAAACCAAAAAAATAAAGTCCTCCTAAAACTACTCTTAAATAGGTGTTGTCCACCCAATTCTGCATGCAGATCTTATTTATTTTATTAATAATATTTGTTTGATCTGCTTTTAAGTGATCTGCATTATCACCATTCAAAGCCATAGATGTTATGCAGAACAAAAAATATTAATATAATAGATGGTGGCACAGATTAAAAATGCAGATTATATAGATCATATAGATCATGCAGAACAAATACAAATCGTGAAGATCATCCAGAATAAATGCAGATCAAATAAATTAATAATTTAGAATATTTTTTTAAATAGTACAAAATACAAAAATATAATTTAAACATAGTAAACATATTCAAAATTATAAATATTTAAATTTCAAAATATACATATTATAAAACAAAAAAGATTAAAAACAATACTTAATATGATATGCTTTGATCTGCTCATAACAAATTTGCAATGTTTTCTCTAATATGTGTTATAATATTATCTTCTTCTTCTTCGGCGTCCATGTCACTTAAGTTTGGATTGTGATTTTGTCTACGTCTCATTATTTCAGCAAAATCTTTATCTGAAGCATTTGAAATTCTAATAAAATTATGTAATCCCGTTGTAGCCATTACCACTCTTTTCTGAACATAGATATCATATCTAGGAAATTCACAAAGAATCCTCCATTTTTTCTTCCAAACGCCAAATGTCCTCTCAATAATAGAGCGTAAAGATGCATGCTATCAATTGAATAATTCTTGTTCAATTTTAGAAGGAGGACCATTTTCGAATTGTGACATATGATACATGACAACATTGTTTCGTGAAGATCTAAATGGTGCCAAAAACCCTTGCTTATTTGTAAATGGTGCCAAAAACCCTTGCCAAAAACACTAAATAATACTTGTCTTCTGGAAATTTGGAATCATTGTCTTGCGCCATTGTGAGAACTGATGTATCGTGACATGAACCTGGTGCTCCATTCCAAACATATGTGAATAACATATTCAGATCACAAATAGCCATTATATTAAATGATGTTGTATTGTGCCGATTCCAGTACATTCCTCGTAATTCAGGCTTCAATTTGACGTATACATGAACCTCATCCATGGCTCCAACAAAACCACTAAAATATGGCCAATATTTTTGCTTCATTAGCCGTCGCTCAGAAAGTCGGCTTAGTTCTTCTCGTCGGAGTTCTGATGTAATCACAAGCAAGTAATTCAACCGCTCTAAGCACTTCAAAAAAAAATTCTATTCACTGTCTCTTCTATTCATCGAAATCACAATCCAACATCTCTTTAGACCTCGTTGTGCCCATACCCGCAGAAACATGGTCACACTTTCTTCAATGCTTACATTCAGTGTTGGTTTTAACCCATAATTCGTCTGCATCACCATACAATGTTATAAAACAATCTAGTGACATTTGTAGTAACTGAAGACAAACAGCATTATCTACTTGTAACTAATGCCAAATATTCACCCAAGATAAATCACCATCTGTTTGGACTGGTCCTCTTTCAAAATATCGTTGGTAGTAACTCAATGATGGTTAAATTATTAAGTCTTCAAATTGTTCATTTTCCAAATTCCAAAACTCAATTTGCTCCTCGTAACTAATATTTTGGACACCTTGTGATCGCAGTTGGCATATACGAAATGCCTGAAATGTTGTAAACATGAGAGAAAAGATAAAATAAATTGATAAAAATTTGAAATTTCAATAATACATAATACGTAATGAATACTTTAACAACATTACACAAAACGTAACAACTGCAAATAACAAGCACAAGCACTACTTAACTAATCTTCAGCTCCTGAATCATGTTGATGACTTTCATTCAAATTTGGTCCTTGTTTGTTTTCTCCAAATGTTTAATAATTCTTCAGCTCTCTGTGGTTTTGGTAACTGTCGCGCCGAAGAATCATTGGTGAAATCAAATTCTGGTGGTACTCCTCTTTGAATGTTTGCATGACTACGAGCTTCCGCTTCCTCTGAAAATCTTTGTTGAGCATTTTTTGTTGTTTCTACTTCAGCTCCCACCGAAAATCCATGTTGAACATATGTTGGAGTATTTCGTTGTGGAACATTTGGTGAAGAACCCCAATATCGGTTGTTTGGTGATGAGCCCCATTATTGACCATTTGGTGGTGTACCCCATTGTGGAACATTTGATGAGGAACCCTATTGTTGAGCATTCAGGGGTGTACCCTATTGTTGAACATTTGAAGAGGAACCCCATAGTTGAACATTTGGTGGTGTAACACATTATGTAATATTTGATGATAAACCCCATTGTTGAGCATTTGGTGGTGTATCCCATTGGTGAGAAGCATGACACCATTTGATAACAACGTATTTGTATCTAATTTCACTATTGATTTCAAATGCTTTT